TATTCGAAAATAGCTCCTAGGATTTACAAGTAATTTTAGGAGAAGAAAAATGCTAAACACTTGATTATTTTTGTTTTTCCCTAGGTTTTTGCTGCAGTTAGTTTCTTCAGCATCTGTTCTAGATCACACCCCTGTCCTTCTAAATGTAGTGGAGACCAACCCTTTCAAACATCTTACCCATCTCTCTCTGAAGTTCCTACCAGGAAGTGATGCAGAGTTAAAGAAGTTTTTAGCCAGCTGTTTGAAATGCCTCAAGGTAAAATGAAGCCTTGTCACAGCTGCACTAGGCCTTGACGCCGTGTGTGCTTAAGCATTCTTTTTCAGTCTTCATTGTCAAAAGTATGTACCAGTTGGTATGATCTGGTTTATTTTTTACTCTAGCTCATATATATCATCACTTGCAGCTATTTGGGTGCATGTTCTAATGTTACTATTTGGGTGCATTTTACTGTTACTATTTGGGTGCGTGTTACTGTCACTCTAGCAGTGCAAATACTTTGTGTGTGTCCAGCTGAGTGCTGTAACTTGAACTGGCAGAAACTGGGCTGTTGGACCCAGGCAGCGCTGCTGAACGCCTCATGGCTCTGTGTCACAGCCGCGTGCCCACTGGCCCTGCAGCTGCCAGAATAACGCACTGTAACCTTTCCGTCTTTTGTGGTGCAGCGGGGCTTCGGAACGCGTGCCTGCATGTGCGGTTCTAAGGCTTTGGGGGCTTCGAAGGGCCCGTGGCTGTAAATTGCAAATGAGAAGGAGAGGCTGATGCAGGGAGCAGCACGTCAGCTTTCAGTTAAGGAGAGAGCGATGGCCTCATGGTTTGACTGTTGCCAGTTTCATAGCCTGGGATTTGTGTGTCCCCTGCTGTTACACACTGCTTATAGGCACCTCATCAGCCACTGTAGTAACATAACTTTACAGTATTTCACTGGATTTGTTGTTCATGCAAGTCCTTTGGAAATGAGTATTTCTACGGTACTATTTCTTTATAGAAACTTGGCAAGAATTCAGGGTTTTTACTTTGTGAGCTAATGCTTTTCCTTTTAAAATTATTAATTATATCTTATTCAGTATAAAGTTTATTTAGTAAGATGATTTTTCCACAAATATAATGGGTATGTGGTTGTTTAGGCAGGGTATGCTCATAAAAAGGAAGCTAAATAAGACTCGTATTTTGGGAGCTAAAGATTTGATTTGATGTCAATTTGTACGCAGGAAGACAAAGTGATGTTGGAAGAAAAGCTTAGAAAAACTGAAGAGGATCTTAGCAGACAACTGAGCTACACTCAACAGGTAATATAAATTTTTAACTTCCCTGTGGACTTTTTTTAATCTGTGAAAAAGGTACCTTCCTGTGGGCTGGTCACTTAGCCATGGTAATTGATTTGAGGGTGAGTGAAAAGAAGGGAAGTAGCCTCGTGTAGCTTGTCTTGAGGATGAGTAAAGTGTGCAACTGAAAAATAAAATTTAGTTCTTGCAGTACTAAACCAGAATTTTATTTTGTACAGAGGTTTGCACATGCACATACAAATTGTATACTAAATATACGATAGGGTGACGATAAATACACTACATATTACATGAATGGCTGGAAATGCCTGTATTTGGAAAAATTGTGAAACACCGATAAATAAATCAGAAGTCTTGGACTTCATGTGACTTACTGCTTCTTGCTTTTTGCAGTCAGCCCGGTAATGACATTTTTTTTCAAGATGATGATTTGAGTCAAATTCTAGAATTATCAAGGTGACTTTTTTGACTACCATGAGACAGAAAAATTCCATTAGAACTCCTTTCATGGAGCTTTTTGGAATGGAATACTTGTTAGCCTCATCTTTAAGGAATAGTAAGGAACAGTGTTGACTGAAATGCCTGAATTTTTAAAACTCTCTGTGCTTTGTCAAACAGAGCTTGTCCGAGAAGAGCCGAGAACTAGACAAACTGAAAACCGAATGGACGTCGTACACTACAGCTCTAACAAACAAACACACGCAGGAGCTGACAAACGAGAAGGAAAGAGCTCTCCAGGTATGACAGCAGGAAAGAGCTGACGATATCCTTGAATGCAAATGGCTCCTTGGCTTAGTTTTCAGTCTTACTGAACAGCTGCTTAGTTTCTTTGCTTCTCATAGGCACAAGCTCAGTACCAACAACAGCATGACCAACAGAAAAAGGAGTTAGAAAATTTGCATCAGAAGAGCATTCAACAGCTGCAGAACAGACTCTCAGAACTCGAAGTCATCAATAAAGACCTAACAGAAAGGAGATACAAGGGAGACTCCACAGTCAGGGAACTGAAGGCAAAGCTGTCTGGCCTAGAAGATGTACGGCTCACTGCTCCTTTCCATAACCACACTTACTGGTCTGTAGAGCACTAACACTGCCAGCCTATGGTCTATAGAAAGCATGGAATGTTAAGGTTGTTCAGCTCCTCTTCATTCCATGTTATGCTTGCTATTCAGATATGTCTGTTTAAATTACAATTACAAGCTTTATGAAATTTAAAAAAATAAAAATTTCCTTCCCCACATTCTAGGAATGCCAAAGAGCAAAGCAGGAGGTGCTGTCGCTGCGGCGGGAGAACACTACTCTGGATGCGGAATGTCATGAAAAGGAGAAACTTGTTAACCAGCTACAGACCCGGGTTGCTGTGCTGGAACAAGAGATCAAAGATAAAGATCAGCTGGTTTTTAGGACAAAAGAAGTATTAGATGCGACACAAGAACAAAAGGTTACTTTGAGTTTCAGAATAATTTTCTCTGAAGCTCTGTAGAACTTTCTTAATTACAGTCTCTGTAGATTAGCTGCTGACCAGTTTTTACTAGCTAGCAAGCTTTCAAATGTGGTTAAAAATTCTAATTTATGGCATCTAAAGTATACTGGATTCAGTTTTACAAAGGTCACCACTGCTTTAATACTGTGCTGGTATAAAATCAGTGGTACCTTTTGTAAGCAAAAAAAGGGTGAATTGAGATCCTGTGTAATTTGACTGAAAAGCAAGGCCTGAATTTCTTGTAAGGATTAGCTCTCAAAGAATTACTGAGGTTTGACTCAAAATCATAAGAGATGTCTATCATGTACAGTATTTTTAATCTTATTTTAAAGGTGATACTGGAAGAGAATACTGAGAAGAAACAAAGTCATATTGAAAAACTGGAGACAACAATTAAATCGCTGTCAGCTGAACTTCTTAAGGTTTGTTTGAACATGCCATTAGCCTTATGAAATGTTTTCCTTATTTTTCAATGTGTTAATTTTGATAATATCTGATTTATTCTTTGAATAGGCTAATGAAATTATCAAGAAGTTACAAGGAGATTTGAAAACTCTAATGAGTAAATTAAAATTGAAAAATACAGTAACAATTCAACAGGAAAAACTACTGGCAGAAAAAGAAGAGAAACTTCAGAAAGAGCAGAGAGAACTGCAGGAGATGGGACAGTCTCTTCAAATGAAAGACCAGGAGGTATTGTGAGAAATATTGTGTGATATGTTCACCCTCGGGCTTGTCAATGCTGAACAGATGCAGCATGACGATTTTGTGTGCTTTAGCTTATTTGCAGCAATAAGGTCTTAAATCTTACTCTGGAATAGAATGTAATTTTTACTTCTTAGATAACACATTTATTTAAGCGTGTAATCAGCTTCACATTTTTTTCACGTTAAATTGATTTGGAAGAGCCGTCCATCCACACGGAAGATAAGTAAAATTGCATTAAGCGTGCAGAGCAATAGAATGGATGAATTGGCACGCGTCGGAGGGCGTGTTCACGTGCAAGTTGGTGAAGGAGGCAAGAACAGGGTGAACTTTTTCTTCCATTACGTATATTCCCCTGCTTAGAGTCCTTACATTATTTAATCAAGGAAAAATGAAGGTTGGAAGTGTTTCTGGCTACCACCTTGTTGAAACCCTAGTTAAAAGTAGGGCTTATTTTAAAAGAATTGTCATACTGCTTTTGCAACTTTATGGGTTCTTTTTAATTATTTTTTTTCCTGTAGTTTGTGACTGCAGTAGCTGCTGATGGTGTTATTATTCTGGGAATATTACAGGTTTGCAAGCTACAAGAACAGCTAGAAACTACAATGCAGAAACTAGAAGAAAGTAAGCAGTTACTGAAAACCAATGAAAACGGTAGGTTTGTACAGTTTAATTTTTTCCTCTTCAAAAATTAATGATCTAGCAACTCCTGAAAATTAATGGAATCAGTAATATTGCTTTACCTGTGTGGAGTTTTTTTTGTTTGTTTTTTTGTGTGTTACAAAAAAAGCTCTAAGTGTTGTTTATGGAAAATAAAGCTTCTGTCTGCAGTGGGTGTGCAGCAGCCTTGAGCTGGGAGCCTTTGCCGCTGGTGCCTGGGGCAGCGTGTGGGCAGGGGCTGACCTGCGGGGAAGAGCAGAAAGGGGCTGTCGGGGCCGAGGCGGCAAAAAGGGTCTTCATGAGAGTGGGGCTTCCAGTGATGCTTACATGAAAACCAGCCCAGCACACCCACCTGTTGTTTGAGGAAGGGCCACTTGCAATTTTAAACAGCCCGTAAGAGGTAGGAAGTGAGCTTTGACCTTTTTCTTCTCTCCTCAGTGATCACTTGGTTAAACAAACAGCTGAATGAGGTTCAGATGGCCAAGAAGCTGGAGACTCCAGCCAGTGCCCATGCTGGCGTCCGGGCTGCCCTTTCCCCTCATGGTGTGGTAAGATACAGCTATAAATAACGTGCCTAGAGTTTTGGGTGAGCGTTTTGGTTGGTTGGTTTCATTGTGTGTTTGGCTGGGTTTTTTTTTTTCTAAATAACAACAAACACCTTGGTGGGTGCTAATTGATGCCCTGACCTTCTAAGAGAGAATTTTTAAGCTCTTACTTATGAAATAAAGAAACCAGTGCAGAGTTAGCTTGGAAAAGATGAAGTGCAGGGTAAATGGGAAATACAAAAGCAGGCATTTTTATGTTGTGAGATTAACTTCCATGCTAATTATCTTTGCAGCAGTTGAAAAAGGAAGTGTACTATTTGAATACTCCTGTTAGTGATAATTAGAGATGTGAAAATAAAGGGTAGGAACCATTGCCTGCTGTGTTTGCTGAATGCCCTTGTTCCCTTGGTGCCTACACCTTGTGCTGCCCCTGTGTACAGGTGGCTGTTGTCACCTGGCAAGTGCTGGGCTGCCTGCTCTGTAGAGGAAGGGCATATTCATGCAAAGAGGTATCTGATTTAGAGCTAGATACATAGAATAGTTCATCAGTTACAGGGCGTGGAGATTATTATAAGCTTATAGTTATTAGCTCACAGTGTGTAACTAAGATGTAAAAAGTTACAAGTTTTCCTTAAGAATGCGTATCTGGGTAAAATAATGTTTTCTTTCCATCAGGAAGACTGAAATGAGCGTTAGCTTTGTAATAGCAGTTAGGTGTTAACTTTGTGATTTTGAATCTCTACAAACAGTTCCTTAGAGAATAACTTTTCCTCCTTTATGGGCGTATTCTGTTTGTCTGACAGCCTGACCGACCACCCTTCCCCAGCGCAGGAATCGGGCACCCCCCTTCTCCGCTGTATCCCTTCCACAGCTTGACAGACCCAGCGCACAGCAGAAGTGTCAGTTCCCAAGGTCCAGTCCCAAAGGTGAGCGCTCGGGCAAGGATGTGATGGCACAAAATACCAAAGCTTAACATTTTCAGAAACGCTTTAGTAGAGTACTAGAATATACAATAAATACTTAGACATTTTGAGTGTTTGACAAACTAAGTGTTTATACAAACACTATATATAAATAT